GCTCTCACGGATTGTATCCCCTCGTTCACAAAATAGATACATACAAAACGACACAACCAATACTGTATTCTGCTAGAAGTAATTGAACGTAAGCTGAAAGTTCTTTACTTATTATGACAAAACATGACTGTTGGCATTCGTTGTGACATTTTGTAAATATAAACCGTGATTTGGTCTTTTGCAAAATTCATTTACACTTTCTATAATTGTTTCTTTAATAAGTAAGTGGTCTTTATAAGAGAGGCCAATATGACGACTTGTAAGGCAAACTGCACACAGAAACATCGAAACCTTTGCTCTACAACCGAAACATTGATTGGAGACAAAAGATCAACTGATGTGTCGACATGAGTGTCGAAACCACTGAAATATGAACCAACCCCATCTTTTGAAAAACAACATACTTCAAGCGTTCTGATCATCAGCTAATTTGTTTTTCAGAACACCTCAAGACCTGTGTGATGCTCGCAAAGTCGGTACGCGAGACAATTTATAATAATCTTCATAATTTGCACAAAATTTGAAGGCACAACGTTTAATATATTTGCTTGCATCGGCTTTATTTGGACTTTGCAGCTGCTACTGTAATCAAACTTTATAGAATGTTATCGGTGTCTGAGCAAAATATGTGTGCGCCAAGGTTTTGTCAAAGAGCGTTTCGTCCTTTTTCGCAAATAGTTAAACGGAAAGTAACAAGACCTAATAGCTAAATATTCATCACAAATAATACAAAATGGTCTCGGTTTATATGTTCTAGTTACTGAAGTTGTGTATTTTATTATCTTTACAGTTTTCCCTATGTTTGTCTTTGTGCTATTATGTTCCTATTGTTCGTATGTATGCATCTATTGGGTTTTTGGCTTTGGGCGTTCCTGATGCAGAGGTGCGATTCAGATGCAAAAGCCTTTTACAATGCTGTTTGTTTTCTGTTGTATTTATATTTTACTTGATGTGTACTTTGTTGAGAAAATTTACACTATATACTGTATCATGTGTATGTGCTATTAACTTCAAATAACCTGTTTGTTGGTGTAATTGTCGAATGTACTATCAGCTACAAACACTTTATTTTGTTGGCGCTTTTGTTAGATTTATTTGCATTTTTGCTTGAATTTTGTAGTCAGTTGTGTTATATGTCTATGAAGTATCTTTACGCAGTGTTGGCTGCTAGGTCCCAACTATTGTCACATTAACCTATTATGTCTATAAAGATAAGAAGATATGGTATGATTCCAAATGTGACAACTCTCCACCAATGCCAAAATGATATTACTGTGTGTTTTCCAACCAACTTGTGTCAATATAATGAAACTGAATCAACTGCCATAGAAATGGGAGGTTACGTTAGGTATAAAACCAGGTTTAAGGAACCCTTTTCTTTGAAAAATGTCTGTACGAAGTCAGGAATATGACATATGTTTTCCATTCGTTCCCTTGATTGATAATGTCTAACGTTTGACTTAGTCAGTTTTTATGGACTTTTCCCTTTTTAAATTTGCCTTGGAGTTCGGTATCTTTGTTATACTTTTAATGATAGTTATAATACCACACCTTCTTATTGTTTATTGTGAGAGCAAATGTCCACCCCGAGAAATATAGCTTTGACAGCATGACACCTGTATAATGAACGACGAATTTTTCACATTCTGGCCAGAGTGATTATTTATTATCATTCATGTATATGACCTATTGGAAAAACTGTGACTTACAGAAATAACGTAGGTATAAAAAGATACAAGTGGTCCACATCTTCGCACAGAATTAAACGATTCGAAAATAAACGCTTTTAGAAACGCCTGTTTGACTGCACATGCGTATATTTAGAGAACAGCATTGTTAATATAATACAAGAGTACGCCTTCTATAATAATTGTTTACCTCCATTATAATTTCAGATAAGATTTTTCTGCAGCTATCACTTAAACTTTACGAAAATGGTCTTAAGGTCAGACTAACAATGACAGCCATACTTTATCTAGTTAACCTATTACTCACTGTATCTGACAAAACAGACCTATGGCTTAACACTAGTCATTTTTTGCTGTTCGGTGTGAGCCAAGTCTCCGTGTTGAAGGCCGTACTTTGACCTATAATGGTTTATTTCTACAATTTGTGACTTGGATGGAGAGTTGTCTTATTGGCACTCATGCCACATCTTCTTATGTCTACTTATAACAAAACAAGTTTGTTAGGCGGCAATGAAACCATCAAAATAACGTCAAGATACAAGGAACATGTCCTGGATGCAATATTCTCGCCCTAAGATATCTAATTAACAGAATTAATATATACTTATTTTTGTTTCATAAATATGAAATTTAAAACAAAGAGCTAGCGTTTTTGGCGACAGCTACTACCGCATAAGCATTGGTGTGTCTCAAATTCTGCGACATAAGTCACAGCTTAGACTTATAACCAATATAACCAACTAAGGAAAAAGTTAAACAGTATTTTCAAGAGGACTATGTGACAGAAAGTTTGTTTTTTTTTTACTTTGTGAAAGTTATCTTTTTTGATAAATATTTGATCAAAAATAAATTCGATTGATCCACAAGTCTTAGGATATAAATATTTTATGGTCAGCGGATAATCATTCATATTGTTTTATTCTCTTGACAGATATATTTGAATAAATTATGTTGTCAATTTAGATAAATTAGTAATTTAATATTTAGCTGCTATGCGGAAATTTATTTGCTGGATACAAATGACACTGAACTATGTACATTTTTTGTATTTTATGTGAATTGTGATTTTGATATTTTAGAAGAAAAAATACATTAATGCCAATGGTGTATTTTGATTGTAATTTTTTTACCAAATCTAATTATAATCAGAGGTTCCGTAAGGTTTGTGTATCGTGGTGTGTACACGAGCTACAAATAAATATAACGAAGTAAAGTGAGAGATGGATTTTTATCAAATAGATGTTTTCTAAGAATGTACAGATGTAAAAATTGTTAAGCAAATTTCAATACAATTACTCCAACCACACTTGGATAGAAGTATTAGATATATTCCTTTTGCCTTTTATTTAAAAGATGGATTTAGCTCCTGTTATAAGTTCTTATCTTCTAACCATTTTAATCGGTTTGTTATTTCAAACATTCTCAGATATAAAACGTTATTTGCAATTTTTGATTTCTTTTTATTTTGTTTGTTGATTTCCTTGTTTCCCAATACAGTCACTCGATTTAAACGCCTGTAGTGAGGATGAAGTGATTCATTTCAATGGGTTTTTCCTGTTGTTGGATTTATTTAACCTTTGATGATAACTCATACAGTTATAGAACATCATTTTACAATGAAGTGGATTATGATTTTTCATTAATTGAATTATTCCATCAATTTCATCCATAATTTTGTGCATATGTATATTTGGTATGATATTCATTTGATACCGAATCGTTTGGCAAGTTAGGAATGATAGAATTTTCATTTGAAAGGCTTAAATTTTGTGGTTTATGTCGATCTGACGGGTTAAATCAGAATAAGGAGATGTGGTATGATTGCCAATAAAACAGTTATCCAACAGAGTCCACATGAGCAATTAGTGGTCACATAACGGTCTTCAACACAAAGACTAACCCAAAGCGTATAGTTAGCTATAAAATGCTCCTACATGACAAAATATGAAACAATTCAAACGATAGAAATAAACAGTGGATTGATTTATGAAAAAACAATAAACGAAAATCAAAATTGATAGACAACCAAGATGTCTCATTGGTAATCACAACGCATCTCCTTATTTTTTTATATTTATCAGTTTGATTATCAATTAACGTTCTCGCAACTATATGCACTGTAGCATGAATATTAAATAATTTATACAAAAAGGTGCTACTTTAATCACCTCTTTAGGTTTATCTTTATCTCGCTGAAAGAATATGAGCTTTGGATTGTTTTATCGTTCAACACCTTTTACCCCTTGCCCGGCTTTGGCTATACTTTTTGTCCTTTATGGTTCATCTCGTCATTTTTTTAATAAGATTTGGCTTTTCAAATATTTTGGCATGGATCAATACTGAAGAGACATTAAGCTAGATCATAGGTATATATTTCCTCAGATAGAAACTTTTTGTACTTTGCCAAAATAAAGATTTTTCTATGCTTTTTCCAAAAATATATTAAAAAGTATGGGTCACCGTGCTATTTTTCAAGCTACGGGTCGTACGAAATTGCACAAATTTGCTTAGATTGTTCATGAAAAAACACATTTTTGTGCATAAAAAGAAATCTATGAGACAGAGTTTTGAAATAAAATATGAGAAGATAGGTTTTATAATATGCTTTAAGAAAATAAAAAGAAAAAATGGTGTCACCGTACTTGTTTTCTTGCTAAAAGTAAAAATTAAAATTTCCCTATCAGTCCAGTATAATTTTTTTACTAAAAGAGTTATCTCCCCTTAAATGGCCAAGTTGAAAAAATGATTCTAAAAACACAATTATTTGCTATTTATTTAAACATTTTGAAAAATGCAAATAAATCACCAAGTTTTCTTTCATTAAATAAACAGTCTAACCTATAAATTGCCTATCTGTCTCCAAATTTGCAGATTTGGGCAAAAATCTAGACCGATTGTGTACTGCGATTGTACAATCCAAGATGGCGGTATACCATGAATCTACCTTAATTGTCGAAGTGCGTATCTGGTGCAGTATAATTGGTACCATTTTAAAGTCCTTATTAGTAACAAGTATATTAGTAATGTTGTTTATAAGTGCGTAAATTAAAGGCGTTTTTGTGAAATTTTTATTAATTCACCAAAATGTTGGAAGATACCGAAGGGACAATGAAAAGTTGAAAAGAAACCGACAAAACCCTAGAAAATTACCAAAAACGACAAAATGCCAAACAATAGTATAATTATATAAAACTACATGGAAAAATGAAAACCGAGCAATGAAAACAACACATAAACGGGGTGATATCAAGTGACCTGGACGGTTTAACAGATATATATCTATTTAAATGACACATATTACAAGCCTTTATTGTCCATATGATTTATTTCAAGCATATCAAACTCATGATATATATTGCTTAGATAAAAAAAGATAAACTGATTTATCATGTATAGTTGTGCGTGTTTAGCCTGCTTGTTATGCACACACTGGTTCATATTCATAAAATTGTGGTGTATTGTTCGTTTGAACAGCTTTGTCTGCTCTGTCTTTTGCCTTTCATTTTTTTCTTGAAGTTTCTTTTGCTACGATTGATTAGAAGAAATACCGCAACTGTCACTGTCAATGTAATTGATGTCGTACATATAATATAAATCACTACCGCTCGGATCCTCATCCCTACAAATTGAATAAAATCGTTTGATTAATTGCTGCTTTAGAAATGCTCTATTATATAGTTGAATTCACATTAACTAAGCAGAATGCAGCAAATTAAATCAATACATGATTTTACAAATGCAGATTTTACAGTAAAACATGTAACAAGTAAATTGAAATGTGTCTTTAAAAACTGTAAGCCGTTTTACAAACCTTACGACTTCAACCACGCAACACAATCAAATGGAGACAAACTGTAAGGCACACTAACTGATGATGCGTTGTTTCTACAACTCCTGACAGTAACGACACAGCCCTATGATTGTTACTATATACCACATTCTAATAATCAAAAAGACATAAAACAGTTTGCAAAATTTTGTACTTTTCCTGAATATAACGACATGCAGAAGCGTGAATTTAAAAAACCTTACCATCAATCTTTGCCTGTCTTACTGTACCGTTTGTTGAGTTTGAGTTAGATATGGAAGTCCAGTTTGCTAATGATAAGATGAATGTTAATATAATGTGTATATATTGAGTATTACGAATTTGAGTATTGACGAATATGTCTATGTTTTGCAATATGCTTTTAGTAATCATAAATATTTGTGTATATTTCTTCACATTATAGCATATACGATATTTAACTGTGTATTCTATCAAGTAGATGATTTCATATATTGACCAAAAATGTGAAATGTTTGTGTACAAGACTTAAAACAGGTAGAATGCAAAGCTGTTCTGGACATTAAACTGTGTATCCTGTTTGGAACCGAAAACAAATAACATTTATGTTTTCAGACAATGTTAGTTAGTTGTCGTTATATTGCAACTGTCAAAACCGTTCTAAGTGACTTTCTTTGAGTAAAAATAAACCATTTTAAATTTGTAGCGTACCACATTTCATACATACAATTTTACAAAAACACAAACATTCAAAGTTAAAAACTCCTATAATTGCGCAAATTTGACGTTTTAATTTGAACCAAGTGTTAAGAGTTTGTAATGTTACCTCCAATATCAGATGAATAATCAGAACTAAGGCTAGATGTATTTATTGACATCATGCATCCTTTCACATTATCACACCTACGGTTAATAAAAACCAAGATAATTTGAAGAAGATGGTTAACAGATCAACAATTTTTCATCTGAAAATGCAGCTACCTGACATTAATTAAAAAAAATCAATCAATTCGATAAATAACTGCAGATCAAATTGTATTTCAAGACTAAATTATTTTTAGATATGGGTTCGGTTAACTTTATACCCCTAATTCATACAACATCTATAGCAGCGAATACTCCTCAGGGGCTAATAAAACAAACATGTTTAGATGTCGGAATAAAACATAGAATAAGGTGTTTAATACCTTTTACAATTATATACAAATGTTAACTGAGAAGTTTGAAATATATATCTGTAATACACACATTTACATAAACCGTGCTGTCAGATTTGAAACAATAGACCGATCGACGTACTACAAGCGTAATACCTCTCGATTTACCCCTTTCATGAAATGTGAAATAAAATGTGATATAAATGAAGGAATAAAGCTTATCCGTATTATATTTCTTTCATGAAAGACCAGCGACGTCGGATATGTTTCTATTTTTTTAACCAAGATCCGTTTCTCTTTTCGTAGAACTAGACATGACCTTATTAGACATATCATCGAGTATGTACTTAAATTTGGCAACACAATGGGTGACACATGTAGAACAGGATCTGCCTACCCTCGTGGAGCATATGAGATCACCTGGACTCATGTTGCTTAGTATTTAGTTTTCTATGTTATGTTTTGTATTTTGTTGTTAGTCTTTTGATCGGTTTTCGTTGTTTGCAATGGCGTTGTCAGTTTGTCTCCGACCTACGAGATACCTTTAGTATCTTCCGCCTCTCTCTTCTAGCAATTGTTTGTTAAAATGTATGGATATGGTGTAATAATCCAAACGCAAATATATAATACTTAGTTATAAAAAGTTCGATGGCCTGATTCAAGAGGATAATGTATAGTTTCAAATATATGGTTATCTAGCTTTCTCGCCAACCACTCGGCAGCCTTACAAACTGTCTTTTTCATTAGAACATGTTTAATTATAGTCATTTCACATAATTTATATGTATCTCATACTTTTATACCATTATTTATGATTTGCACTACTTAGCAATCATCTATACATATATAAGATCATTTTTTTAATGAGAAACACAACGGGTGCTACTGTGGATTCGTTATTATTTGTTGGGTACCAATTTTCGTGGATTTCGTTGGTACAGGTACACCACGAATTTAACTGTTCAATGAACTTCACATCTTTTATAAGGTTGTATGTAGACTTTGGCAAATCCACGAAATCAAATATCCACGAAAATGCAAGTTTTTCTTAATCCACGAAAATTGGTAACCACGAAAATAAATGAATCCACAGTACCAGGGGAAGGAATAACTTATCCTTCATGGTCATCAAAACATCCTTTTTTTTTCTTTCCATGATGTGCGTTCTTTTTACTCTTTAGTTTCATTTGTTTAATGTTTTGTTCTTTCGTATGCTTTTTTGTTCTGATACTAGTTTTGTTAGATATTTTCTCTTCTATTTGGTGGAGTTAAGTTTTAAGATGTCACTTTTTATTTTTCAATTCCAATATTAAACGATTGAAAAAAATGTAAGTGCTTGTAATATTTTGGAGTGTACTTTAATTTAGAAAATACCTTTGATCTGGTTGACAAGCACATACATCTGCACATCGTTTACCGAATGCACCTCCTGCACATGGAACACATAGCGATTCAACAGCAGAAAAGAAACCAGTTGGACATTCTACGTGAAAGAAAATCTTATAACAAGTATCATATTTTTTTTTTTTAGGTTGGGAGGAAAGGTATTCATTTAAAAAATACGTTCATAAAAAATTATAGCATAAACAGTTTAAATTATACTGCACTTGATGCGCTTTTCTGCAATTAACGTCTCTTCAGTGATTTTTGAGGCTATAGAAATACTTGAAAATCAATCTCTAATACAAAAGTTAAATTCCACAAAAAATGGGTTGACCCATGGATAAAACTGTATTTCGAAATTGTTTCAACTGTGAGTGTTTGTTTCTTTTTTGTTTTGTTTTTTGTGCTTGTTTGTGATTTCTAATTTTAAATTTATCAGTTGATACCTTATGCTAGTTAAAATAGTTTATTTACAGCCTATACGAAATCAGGCGAACTGAATCATATGTTGTTCGTTGGTTTTTTTTTTTTTATTTATTTTCTTGCAAGAGTTGGTCATCTGTACTCTCAAAAGTGTTGTGTATTCCAAATATATACGTTATGTATAACACATGTTTATTTTGAAGGGGAGGATTAAGCTTACTGGCGTGTATGTGTTATGATTCCCAAATTTTGCCTCGAGCGTTTCATATGAAAATTGTTCTATAAAGTCCTGTTGAAACTCCATTAGTTGGTTCAGTTAAAAACTGTTTGAAATAAGTGTCGGCAAGGGAAAACAATTACTCCCTTATGAAGTAAAAAACCACAAGTACAACTAAACAATGATTTGCACATTATAACTATCAAAGAATGCTAGCCTTGTAGTTCAAACTACTTAACCTACTTAAATGTACAGATATCGGTGTCAAAAGTTGATAACATATTTGCAACAGCAACGTCATATACAGAACAGTAAAAATATAATCTTGTGCAGCTGCATGACCAATTGGTACCAAATTTCAAAACAAAAGAATCATCTTAACCGTATATTCTTCAAATTTTCAATCTAAACTCATTCGCAAAATAAAACAACAACTTTATGATTTAAAATCTTTTAAGACAAAACATAATTCTGCTTACCCTTCCGGGCACCTGCGATCACCCCCCAGTTTTGATGGGGTTCGTGTTGCTCAGTGTTTGGTTTTGTAATTTGTGTTTTGTTAACTGTTGTTTGTCTTTTTCTTTTTTAGCCATTGCGGTGTCAGATTGTTTTCGACTTATGAGTTTTAATGTCCCTTGGGTAACACTCGCCACTTTTTTAAGACAATTCCTTAAGTTCATATATATATAGCTTTATAAATAATATTTCCATTAAAATATAGACAAAATGCTTTTCATTCATTTCTGCAGGTGTACTATTACACTTTCAATAGCTCATTTCCATTGGTAATACATTTTAGTTAACGTTTTGCAAAATCAATGAAACAAATCCTACAAATATCTTAGCATATATGACAATAATGAAACAGCAATCATTTGGTGGCATATTTAGTTTTTGAACGAATTTTGTTTATTTTTTTTTTCCTATCGTGGGGAGATTAATGTTAAACTATTTTTTCGATCAGAATTTTATCGATTGAAATCCCGACCCAAACATTTCTAATTTTACCATTTAGAATCAGTGACATTTTATGTATTGGTAAATCAGAAAAGAAAACGTGTTTTGTCATTGCCATACAGAAAAGGGTCTTTTAACTTTAAAATATTTTCTGTACCATATATCCATGATAAAAAATACATAGCACGGACATCTAAAGCTAGGACGTTCTTTCTGTCTTATGGTTTTGGGCATTTACCCTAAATGTATTCTTATTAAAACACAACTGTAATGAGTGAGGTGATTCATATTGGGGAAAAAAAGCAATTTCTATTAATATTTATAATTAGAATTGACAAATAAAAAAACTTACTTTTACATCCAGTGGAATGCTGTTCATAATGGCTACAACAGAAGTACTTTGTGAAATAGATTGTACCAGCGTTTGTTGAAGCCCTGTTCTCAAATGCAAGTATACAAATTAATGCATATATGCGTGTTGAAAATTTATCAATTCAAAAATATGTTTAGGTTGAATAAAGGAAACCTAGTTCAGTGCGCTTATATAAATTTTTAATGAAATATTGTTTGAACCCGATGGACTGAAATATTACTAAATAGAATAAACCTCTTCTACGGTAATTGAACAGCAACACAGCGATATACAAAATACTTCTGAAGGTATATATTATACACCATCAATACAATACGTCTGGATATTCTTTGGATAAAATTGAAAACTTGTCAATTCACACTTAGTTATATGCTGAATTACATCATTAAGATAAAAACAAAGGTCAAACATTGACATAGGTTTCTGTCTTAAGACGGACTTAAAAAAGTGTCACCTTAATCTTTACGCACTTTTGCTATATTTGGAGCGATTGAGATCTAACCCTATTGTAAAAAGTATTGTTGAAATTGATGTATTGTTCCTTAGAACGTTTTTTTTAATTCTCTCTCGAGGTGAAACAGCCTTGTTTACATATACTTCTCATCACCTTAAATTCATACTTAATCAATTAAGACAAGACAACACATGCATATTTACAACAGGTCTGCCTATGTCAACGTACGAATGCTTGCATCACATTTCATGTAAACCGAATTTGGTTCGGTATGATTATATATTACATGTGTATTCGTGTGTGCCGATAACACAATTATTCCATGCAGGTAATATCAATTTAGTGTCGGTGCTTTTGTTGTACTAGGTAGTAAGATTTAAATTAGAGGCTCGAAAAAACCTGTGTGTCTCACCTGAATATATCTACATCTTTCTTTATGGTAATTTTCCAATATTGCAGACAAGAACTTAATGCATGATAAATATTCTCGTTTGTTGATCTTGTACTGCTGTTTATGGCTAATGTATTTTTTTTTATATCACAAAAACAAAAAGATGGAAAAAATAGTGATTCACGGTATTTACTTTTGGAAAAAAATGTTTTGACAATTGCCGCCTATTTGATGGATTTTGAGATCTTATTTTATAATTTTTTTTTTATTCGTTATTTACAGGTATTTTGATACGTTTGTCACATGTATCATGTTTATCATGTGGCACAATAATCAAGCAAGTGAAAAAAATAAGCATTATATGGTAAAACAGTATACACTCTCTTGATTAAGTATGATAATAATATTTCCATTATTACAATTGTAACAGCAATAATAGTGCAAGAATACATATACATTCAAATATACATATACACATAAAATATACACACGTTTGTATGTCTTTACACCATTAACATTTATCAGTGACCTTAGCACAGGGGTTCCAGTATATGTTGTTTTCTCCCACACTAACATTTTTTGAAGAAATATGTTTTTCTAAAATTTAAGTCCTTGTATATGAGGTTTTACATTTTGCACCTTAGATCTGTAAATGAAGCAATTTTCCAGTAAGACCACCTTATTTCTTATATATTTAATTTATAACTTTCATAGAGGCCAACAATGTTAATATTCAAATTTAGTAAAATTTTGATTTGTACTATATAAAAAATCCAAGAATTCGGATTGTACCATGTCAAAAATGCATGTTTCGGCTACAATAAATATGACATAAGGAGTCGCCTGAAAACTTCGGCCATATTGATCTATTTTGTGATTTTGTCTGGCTGATCATAAGTTGTATCATGGGGATCAGTTTCGAAGTTTACTGTTTCTCTCTTTCCTCTAAAAATTATGACCAAAACGTCAAAAACCTAAATATCGTCATTTGAGGACAATAACACCTAACACCACATAAGGAGTCGACTGATAATTTCGGCCATGTTGATCAATTTTTAGATCTTGTCTGGCTGATCATAAGTTTTGTCTACAGTTTTTCTTTTTAGTTCTTTATTTTTTGAATGATACATACTTGACAATAATGTAATATTTTTTTTTCACTAAAAATTAATTACAAAGCGTACAGCGCTACTACATAAAACAAAGTTTGAAACTTTTCTGTAATTAATTGACTTTTTGTATTAGTTTATTCTTTACGTAGTATATAATCTTTCTTGTCGCTATTTTTTTCTCTTGTCACTTCTTGACGCTCTTTGTCGCTTCTTGTCGATAAACTTCTTCTTCTCACTAATTAGTGAGACCGGAAAATGCAAATATGGGTAAACATCATTTATATGGGCAAAAAACTCAGATCTTTGGTCCACATTCTTTATGTGCTTGTCCCAAGCTTGTATATGTAGTTCCGAGGTTGTCATTTGTTCATGTCTCTCATATTTGATTTTTGTAAATTGTTTCATTATAAATTAGGTCGTTAGCTTTCTATTTCATATTTTTCATGCTGTGGCCTTTAATAATCGACTATAATGTATTAGTTTTTCTCATTGTTGAAGGCCGTACGGTTGCCTTTATTTGCTTACATCCACTTCATTTGAACTTTGAATAATAGTTGTTTCATTAACAATCAATTTCGTCTATGTTATATATTTGTAGATTGTGTCTTGCTTGTCATTTTTTGCTATATACAGTATTCTCTATCCTATATAGTTTTCAAGTTAAAAGGCAAAACGAAAATAATGATAAAAATCGTCCCTAAAGGGTAATGATTCCTATAAGGATTTGTCTGTAAGTTTGTCATTACCTAGACAGTCGGAAGATCTAGACATTTTGAACATGTGTGGCCCTGTCAGATTTTCTTTATCTGCCATATATCAAGACTATATACAAAACATTCGTTGTATCCCTATGTTCTATTTGAGACCTGTCGTCTATGTTGATCGGCAGACTGGATCATTGACAATCATTTTCTTAACTCGATATCACAAGGATTGTTCTGGTAAAGATTGGTTTGATCTGGCTGAATAGTTTCGGAGAAGATGTTTTAAAAGCTAATGGTCGACAACAGACGAAAGACGATGGACGCCCAGATATCGCAATAACTCACACTGGCCCTTTTGGGCAAAGTGTGCCTAAAGGGGCGGAAGAAACCAAGGAGGAATGATAACTTATTTATATTCTATGTGAATTGTGTTCTTAAAATCGTATAACTGTATTTAAATTACGAACCTTGTAAAGATTACTAAGATAATGCATTTCAAAATATATGCATGATATACTTAGAACGATGAAGTTTTAAAATTTTCTTTAACCAGTAACGATTTGAAGCATGTGCAGAAAAATTGTGTATTTATTTAAAATTAGTTGCGATATAAGGAGACAATTTGCCAAAAAAGGAACACAAATTTATAAATGTACTGTATAAATGACAGCGTAACATTTTCATAACATTGAATACCAATAACAATGAATACCTAGCTTGCTTGCTGCATACTCCGGAAGAAATGCATATCCCGAAAGAAGCATATAAGGACAACAATAGAATGAAATTCATGATCCAGTCAAAGTATTTTTCACTAAAAACAAAACAACATTATTGTACAGATGATGTGGATATTTTTTGCTAAATATAATTAAAAAAAACGGAAATTATAGAGGATGAGGTCCTCAGTATAGCAGACAAATCGATACAAAAAGTATACTTTAGGTAATCTAAAATGTTTACTTTCTTTTTTCTGTCTTTTGCATATACGCTTAAACTTTTCGGAATCATTGGTAAAAAATCCCCCCAAAATACGATGTCCTGACATTATAAATGTATCTGATTGCAATGATGTCAATACAACATTTTATTACTTTGTCCTTTATTACAGCAACATGTATGCGTAGGAACTATACTGAAAAACAAAGTCTACTACTTTGTAGATGTTCCTCTTTACCAGACTCGAGTAAGGGGTTATATAACTTAGATAAAGATACGTGAATGTAGAAGAAATTGGAACAAACAAACAGACATAACTAAATATATTAAACTGACAAAAGACAGACAGACAGACAGACAAAAGACAAGCACATTAAAGACAAACATACATGCACTATGTGTGTGTCCCTTTTTCTACTTTTTGGTCTGAAGTTTATGTCTTAAGCGTGATTCTTTGATTATTCTCAGTTCTACATATGTTTTCAGTCTCGTTTTGCTTTTCAAAATACATGTAAATGCTGCAGTAAGTAGCATGTAGTAAGTGAATGAAATAGAGATTGTGACTTCATAAAGAACGACCTAACAATATATCATCATTTAAGTCATTGGTCTATTTTTGTTTTCATTTTGCAATGCATTAAAAACTTCCTCAATTAAAAATGTACGACATAAACACATTTGCTATATTTCAAAAATAATCATTTTACGTTGAAAGCGATCGATTATTGTTGTTAGTCAAGATTAATAGGAAATCCGCTTCCCATTCATTTTTATGAGTATTGTTTTATAAATTTAAAAACTAATTTGATTTTACAAATACATACTTTGCAATATTGGAAATATTATATATCCTTTGAAAACTATTTCTGAGGCAAATGTAACTCACTGAACATTTTTGTAGTTCCTTTGAAAATAAAAATAGATGCAAAACAATAACTATAATGTCAAAATAGAGTTTTAAAAACAGTCAAAATGAACATACAATATGTCAAGTTCTGAATTTTTTCGAGTAAAGTACCAACAACATTGTGAATGAATTAAACAGTAAATATCAAAGATCTGCAGTCAACAAGGAATTCTAAAATAGGACAAAAAAGAATGCATACGCAATATATGAATACACTGTCGTGTATAATGTCAAGAGCAATCTGAAAGTGATTAAAACAGAGAGGCTAATAATACCAAAGGGACATTGAAACTCAAATAGTTAAAAAAAAAAAAACAGACAACATCATGGCAAAAAAAGGAAACGACTAAAAGATAAACAACAGTATACGAAACACAACATAGGAAACTAAAAATGGACAACATGAACCAAACCAAAAACCGGGGGTAATCTCTGGTGCTCCGGAAAGGGTACACAATTTCTGCTCAACATGTAAAATCCATCGTGTTGCTAATGTAAGTAAAAATCCGGTTGTAAGTCTAACTCGGTAGGTCGCATTCGAGGAAAGGAGACGGGATTGAGGTTACAACAATCGGAACATATCCGTCGTCATCTGTGAAACAGATACTCCATAACGTTTAACCAACTCGTGATGGCGTCCTTAAAATTTACGAAGGAATGATTTCAACTTCACCACTTGGAACTCATGGTTTATTAGCTTCCGTGTGAGCATCAAATCTATACCAATGAAATCTTAATGGGAAATGTAGACAAAAAGGCTTAGAAATTGATTTTAACTTTAACATAGCCCAATAATACTAGACGCACAACAGTTAGTCTAAGAGTATATTCCTAAGCTTTATCAATTAGTCTATTGAGCCGAAGAGAAAGACCTTAAGGATAATTCCTTAATTTATTAGCTTCATAAACAGCATAACCATGAAAAGATGGAAGCGAATTACTACCTGTTATTTTCTTTGTGCTGTGCATGTGAATGTACAATTCAACATGAAACTGTATATAAGTGATACATCTTAGAAATGGAAATTAAGATAGCTGTTTTAACAGTAAAATGTGTTTAAACCACCATTTTAATTTAAAATCATATGTTTATTGCGCAGTTAATTTTGATACAATCTACACGTTTAGCTACGGTAATTACCAGGGTCAATTTTGAATTTTCTAAAAAATATAATTCCGTTTCGTACTAAAGATATTCATATTTTGACAAAAAAGTATATGCCATTATAATCATTTTAAAATAATACGTTGACTTTTGTGCATATTAAGCCTGGTTTGACTTATGGTGGTAATTATAAAGTCCCTTGAGAATAGAACTTTCTTAATTTTGAAAAACGTTCTCTTCTTATTTCTCAGTCATAGTACAGCTGTTGACTAGCTATAAAACCAGGTTTAATCCACCATTTTCTACATAAGGAAACGTCTGTACCAAGTCAGAAATATGAAATTTGTTTTCCATTCTCTTGATGTGCTTGTGCTTTTGATTTTGCTATTTATTAAGAGATTTTCCGCATCTGTGTTTGGACTGTGTCACGTTTTTATGCGTTGCTGTCCCAAGTCAGGAGCTTATACATGTTATAGTTTAGTAATTGGTTGGTGTATGTCATAATTGTTTTAAGTTAAAAAAAATTTGATAAATCAGGCCGTTGGAATTTTAGTTTGAATTGTTTCATATATTCATAGTTTTAATAAACGACTACAAAGTATTAGTTTTGCTTATTTTTGAACGCCGTTCAATGAGTCAAAGATGCTTTCATATGATTTTGGTTTGATAAAATGACACATATATGACTCTTATACATATATACAAACAAATTTGTTCCATTTATTATTCTTTTTAAGTACTATAAACAAAGGTAAGAGTTAATGTTTAAAAAGATAACTCTGGATACTCTGTCATGCAACCAGTTACCATAAAAATGTTTGGTATTGTTCTCGAAATTAGTTTTGACTTGTTTGACCACATTTTCATGTCTTTCATGTTGGTTTATGTTCTTCTTAACTTTTCTGTAGTAAATCATGATTGAGATAGCCATTATGATAATCAAAGTGACTGATCCGGAATAAATGGCATTAACATGATTAATCAGTTTCTCGTGGATCTGTGTACCTACAGACATATTTGAAATGTAACTCACAAGGCATTCCCTTTATTTTTAGAGTCAAGTAAAATATAAAAAAAAACACCTATAATATTTATCAACAGTATTTAAGGGTGAAAATGTTATTGCAAACACACGCGTGGTTAAATATTCTAAACTATAAGTATGGAAATGTGCAAATGTGCATAACCAAATGATTAAAATAGATAAAATCAAAAAAGGCAATGACAAAAACCATTTTAAAAATATTCAACGTGCGAAAAAATATATAGTGGTTCCATACTTTTCACATAGTTTTGTTAACAAATGATTTGTTCTTGCTGGGGAACATATCCGTATAAGTGGTTCAAAAATATCAAGGATCATCGAATTAGTTATAGCCATTTTGTTTTATATTTAGAAATTAAAAAACAAAAACACGATCAGATTCAAAAGTATACACTAGGGATTAAATATATGAGACCAATGAGAATGAAAACCTTCATGCTGTGATTATAAAGAAACAAAAGAAAGTTTGGGATTGAAATTAAAACCTGAAATGTAAAATGGTAAACAACTACTGCGCACTAAAATTGCACACTGCAATTTGTGCGCCCATGCCTTCTTGTAATTGGTATGAGTATGATGCGTTTTGATATATCTGAGGTTCAATATAGTAATCGTTATGTTCAAAAGTGTCAACAAAAATAAAGAACTCCAGGGTAAATACAAAAAGAAGAAGTCCACAAAGATAAAAACAAAATTTAAAGTTAGACTATATCAACCAATGGAATATTCTTAACTTTTGGGTAAAACCTGGTTTTATAGCTAGATTAACATCTCACTTGTATGCAATTGTTTATAGTTCAATTTAAAGGAAAAATGGGCGAGCAACCCAACAGATTAAATTGGTCAATGTGACAATAACTGAGATCCAGCAGCCAAAATTGTGTAAATATACTCCAAAGACATGATTTACCATTAACTATAAAATTCGAACATACTAGAAATAAATCTGACAAAGACGCTAACAAAAACAAGTTATTGTAGTTGGCATGTAATCTGACACCGACGCCAACAAAAAAGTTTTTGAAGTTGATGTTTTTCCGTAATATTCAATATTGCCCAAACGTGTCCGATTTCATAACCCCCAAACGTGTCCGATACTTGTTATTCGCCAAAACGTGTCTACTGTTAAACGCCAGAACGTCTCACGTCTTTTAGCGCCCTAAATGACATCAATAACGATTACGGCAATTCTATGATGGGGAAAACAGTTGATGAAGTGGTCATTTATTATCATTAGTTTGTTCAATGCCGGTTGCTAATGATTATCACAATTGCAAATTTAATCTGTAACATGTGAATTAACTTTTGACTGAAATGCTCATTGTCCAGTTGCAAGTATTGCATGCTGATTTAGAGCGAACATACAAATAATTTTAGTACAGTTGAATAAATCGTTTACCAAGTGAATTATTTTGTACTAATAAACTCCGATGATGCCTTTTTATATCAATCTTGTCTGCGAATATTGCACGGCGGGATTTCAATAGAATTGACTTCCCTTTTTTCAACAGTTCTAATACAAATTGGTTTACATGCTCTTTTGTAATACATTTAAGGTTTCGAGCATCACTATAAAAGACATAAGAGACATAACGTCGATTGCCAAATATTTCATGGATTATTTAAACGACATCATGTTAACAATAAGTACTGTAGATACTAGGTTCTATAATTATACCAGGAATTTGTGATTGGGCCTTTATTTTTACGGTTATTCAAGACAAACACTAGTTGGGATATTAATCTAAAATTTTTAAGAGCGAGGAAAGACCATTTTTATGACTTCAGTAAGACACTACGCCAATATCCGTTATGTAATAGAGGTCGTTTTAAATAGAAATTGCGGAAATTTTTAC